CCGCAGTGACAGCCGTGGGGCGGAGGGGGCGACGCCCGGGTTCCACCCGGTGCTGACGTCACACCAGGGCCAGCCCGGCCTGTGACATCACCACCCCCCCCCCGTGACATCATCACAGGCCCCTCCCACCCCCCCCCCCCCCGTTCTCGCTATGCAAACGCCCCCCGGGCCGGGGGCGCCGGGGGGGGCCCCGGGGACCAATAAAGGCTGTACAGCACCGAGCGGCGGCCGTGCTTCGGGGGGCACACCGGGGGCACACCGGGGGCACACCGGGGCGGGGGGATGGCGGGCGGCCACCGCCCAGCGACCCCCGGGATCCCCGGGAGGGGTTTGGGGGTGTCACGGCCCCGGGATCCCCCTCCCGAGCCCGGACACTCACGGGTTAACGCCGGTGGGTGTTTTTTCCCCGCCACGCCCCCGCCACGCCCCCCCCACCCCCCGTGACGTCACGGCTCTACCGGGTCCGTTCGCCGCCGCTGAGCCCGAACGGTCCGGGGGGCACCGGGGGGGCCTTGGGGGCTGTTGCGGGGATTTCGGGGGGTCGGGGCCCTCTCGGGGAGCTCTTGGGGGGATTTGGGACGCAAGGGAGGGGGGCCCGGTGGTCCCTGGAGTGAACTGGGGGGGCTCGGGGGGGATTTGGGGGTTCAAAGGGGGTCTCTGGGGGAATTGGGGTTTCAAGGGGGGTCTCTGGGGGAATTGGGGGTTCACAGGGGGTCGCTGACCCCGCCGTGTGCCCCCAGCCCCCCATGGCGCTGCGTTTGGCCGCCCGCCTGTCGCGCCTGGCCCGGCCCGGTGTCCGGTGGGGGGGCACCGGGCCCCCCCCGCGCACAGGGTGAGTGGGGGGGGGGGGCGAGAGGACCGGACCCCCCCCCCAGGACCCCCCCCGGGATTGGCAGCGACGGGGGGGGGGGACACCGCGAGCCCCCGGTGCTGACCCCCCCTCTCCCGTTGTTCCCCCCCCTCTCCCGGTGTTCCCCCCCCCTTTCCCCGTGCTGACCCCCCCCCTTTCCCGGTGCTGCCCCCTCTCTCTCCCGGTGCTGCCCCCCCCCTCTCCCGGTGCTGCCCCCCCCTTTTCCCGGTGCTGCCCCCCCCCCTCCCGGTGTTCCCCCCCCTCTCTCCCGGTGTTCCCCCCCCCCCCTCCCGGTGTTCCCCCCCCTTTCCCTGTGCTGACCCCCCCCCCTTTCCCGGTGCTGCCCCCTCCCCAGCCGCCGCCCCGTTCGACTGGCAGGACGCGCTGGGGCTGGAGGCGCTGCTGAGCGCCGAGGAGCGGCTGCTGCGGGACACGACGCGCAAATACTGCCAGGAGCGGCTGCTGCCCCGCGTGCTGCACGCCAACCGCCACGAGGGTACCCCAAAAACCGCCCCCCCAAACGCCCCCGCGCTGCCCGACCCCCCCCGGTACAGCCCCAGAGCCCCCAGACCCCCCAAGCGCTTCCAGAAGCCCCCGGGGCCGGTCCCCACCACGGTACCACAGCTGCCCCCCAGTGTCCCCGAGTGTCCCCCCAAACTTGGCTGAGCCCCCCATTCACCCCTGAGCTCCCTCAGGATCCTTCCTGTGCCGAAAATGGGGGGTTTTGGTACCCCCAAAAGCCCCCGGCCCCCCAAAACCCCCCCAAATCTCCCCGACTCCCCAGACTCCCTCCAAGACCCCCCAAATCCTCTCCCCCCTCCCCTCCTGCAGGCCCAGGTGTGGGGGACCCCCAGATTCACCCAGGGGGTCCCCCCGCTGTCCCCCCCCCTCTGACCCCCACCTTGCCCCCCCAGTCTTTGACCGGGAGATCGTGACCGAACTGGGAGAGCTGGGGCTGCTGGGCCCCACCATTCAAGGTCAGGGGGACATGGGGGGGGATTTGGGGACCCAAGGGGGGGGCGTGGGTGATCAGGGACTCCCCCTGGGGTGCTCAGGGGGTGCTCAGGGCTCTGGGGGGGGTTTGGGGTCAGGGAGGGGGTTTGGGGGCTCTGGGGGGGGACCTGGGGGAGCTCACAGGGTCAGTTTTGGGGTGGCAGTGGGGATTCGGGGGATGGCGCTGGGCCCAGGGTGGGGCTGTGTGTCAGGGCAGGGTCCTGGAGGGGTCCTGGGTGACCCCGGGGGTCTCTGGGTGACCCTTGAGGGGTCCCAGTGTGCCCTGTGTGAGCTGGGGGTCTCTGAGTGACCCTTGAGGGGTCCCTGTGTGCCCCGTGTGACCCTTGAGGGGTCCCTGAGTGACCCTTGAGGGGTCCTGGGTGACCCCGGGGGTCTCTGAGTGACCCTTGAGGGGTCCCTGTGTGCCCTGTGTGACCCAGGGGTCCCTGAGTGACCCTTGAGGAGTCTCTGTGTGACCCCAGGGGTCCCTGTGTGACCCTTGAGGGGTCCTGTGTGACCCGGGGGTCCCAGTGTGACCCTTGAGGGGTCCCTGTGTGCCCACTGTGACCCCGGGGGTCCCAGTGTGACCCCTGAGGGGTCCCTGTGTGCCCCGGGGGTCCCTGTGTGACCCGGGGGTCCCCGTGTGACCCTCGAGGGGTCCCCGCAGGGTACGGCTGCGCGGAGCGCCACGTCGGTGGGCTACGGGCTGGTGACGCGGGAGCTGGAGCGCGTGGACAGCAGCTACCGCTCGGTGCTCAGCGTGCAATCCTCGCTGGTCATGTACCCCCTGTGGGCCTACGGGACCCCCGCCCAGCGCGAGCGCTTCCTGCCCCGCCTCGGTGAGACCCCCGCGGGGCAGGGGCGGCTCGGGGGGGGCGTTGGGAGGCAGCACTGAGGGGCTTGGAGGAGGAGTGGGGGGCACAAGGGGAGCTGTGGGGTGCTTGGGGTGTCCCCATGGTGCCCCCTCCCCAGCTCGGGGGGTGTAGGGTGGAGGGGCAGAGGGGCGTTTGCGGGGGGCTTGGAGGAGGAGTGGGGGACACAAGGGGAGCTGTGGGGTGCCCGGGGTGCCCCTGACGCCCCCTCCCCAGCTCGGGGGTGTGGGGTGGAGGGGCAGAGGGGCGTTTGCGGGGGGCTTGGAGGAGGAACGGGGGGCACAAGGGGAGCTGTGGGGTGCTTGGGGTGTCCCCATGGTGCCCCCTCCCCAGCTCGGGGGGCGTTTGGGGGGCGGGAGGCAGCACCGAGGGGTTGGAGGAGGAGTGGGGGGCACAAGGGGAGCTGTGGGGTGGTTGGGGTGCCCCTGACGCCCCCTCCCCAGCGCGGGGGGGAGCTCGTGGGGTGCTTTGGGCTGACGGAGCCCAACCACGGGAGCGACCCGGGGCGGATGGAGACGCGGGCACGGCACAACGCCAGCGCCGGCACCTACACCCTGCGCGGCTCCAAGACCTGGTGAGCCTCAGAATCGGGGTCAGGGGGACACGGGGGACCCCCAGAGCTCCCGGTGACCCTCCCTGCCCTCCCCAGGATCACCAACTCGCCCATCGCCGACCTGTGCGTGGTGTGGGCGCGCTGCGAGGAGGACGGGCGGGTCCGGGGCTTCCTGGTGGAGCGCGGGACCCCCGGGCTCAGCACCCCCAAAATCGAGGGCAAGTTCTCCCTGCGGGCCTCGACCACCGGGATGATCCTGCTGGATGACGTGGAGGTGCCCGAGGAGAACGTGCTGCCCAACGCCGAGGGGCTGGCGGTAAGGGGGGAGCCAGGGCATCCCCGGTGGGGTGGGAGGGTCCCGGTGGGATGGGAGGGGTCCCGGTGGGATGAGGAGGGTCCCGGTGAGATGAGGGGGGTCCCAGTGAGATGAGGAGGGTCCCGGTGACACCCCCTGTCCCCCAGGGCCCCTTTGGCTGCCTGACCCAGGCCCGTTACGGCATCGCCTGGGGCGCGCTGGGCGCTGCCGAGGCCTGTCTGGAGACGGTGCGGCAATACGTGCTGGACAGGTAACGGGGGCCTGGGGGCGGTTTTGGGGGGTCCCACCGCCCCCCAGCCCCTCCAGGCTCAGCGCCCCCCTGCCCTGGCGTGCAGGAAGCAGTTTGGGGGCCCGCTGGCCCGGAACCAGCTGGTGCAGAAGAAGCTGGCGGACATGGTGACGGAGATCACGCTGGGGCTGCACGCCTGCCTGCGGCTCGGCCGCCTCAAGGACGAGGGCAGGTGCGTGGCAGCGTCCCCAGAGGGGACCCGGGGGCTCCCGGAGGGGCTCAGGGTGTCCCCGCCCGCGTTGTCCCCACAGGGCCGCCCCCGAGATGGTGTCGATGCTGAAGCGGAACTCGTGCGGGAAGGCGCTGGGCATCGCCAGGGACGCACGGGACATGCTGGGGGGAAACGGCATCTGCGACGAGTTCCACGTGATCCGGCACCTCATGAACCTCGAGGCCGTCAACACCTACGAGGGTACGGCGGGGAGGGGGGCGCGGGGGTCCCCCGGGGTTCGGGGGGTCCCGCTGAGGCGTGGTGGTCCCCGCAGGCACCCACGACATCCACGCGCTGATCCTGGGCCGCGCCATCACCGGCATCCAGGCCTTTGCCCCGGCCAAGGGGGCGTAGTGGGGACGCGGGTGGCGCCGGTGACACCGGTGGGGACCGGGTCTGCTCCTGGTGGGAAGGGATGTGAGGAGATGGCGGCGCTGACAGGACACAGCGTCGCCAAGCGGACCCAGGTGTCCCTGGAGGGATCCAGTGTCACTGACAGGACCCGGTGTCACCGGCCAGGCCTTGTGTCACCAACGGGACTCGGTGTCACCCCAACCAAATCCCGTGGCACTGGCGGGACCTGGTGTCACCAAGCACAGCTTGCGTTGTTGATGGGACCCAAGGCCACCAAGCAAACCTGCTGTCACCAACGGGACTCGGTGTCAGCGACAGGACTTGGTGTCACTCAGGGGACCCCACTGGTGCTGGGCGCCGTGTCCGGCGCCGTCCCGGTGCCTTCGCCATCCCCGTGGCCAATAAACGGTGGGACAGCCCCTCCATGCCAGCCCTGCTCGTCAGCGTTAATGAACCTGCCAGGACCCAGCTCTGCCCTCGGAGGAGGGGTCCCGGCCCATCACAGCCCCCCCATCGAGCTTTTGGGTCGGCTTCAGCCCTTTATTTGTTCCAACCACCAACACAAACAGCAACAGCAAAGCCCTTTGGGTCCAAAATGCCCCTTTGCAAAGCCCGGCACAGCGCCGTGGGTTTGGGGGTCCCGCTCAGGTCTGGGGGTGCCCTCAGGCCTCGGGCTGCAGGCAGAGCTCCTGATACGCCGCCTCCACGGTGCAGCAGATGCGGCGCAGCTCCGCCTGCACCTCCTCCACGCGCTCCAGCACCTCGCCGAGCGCCTGCAGCCGCTCCTGGATCAGCCCGTTGTGGAAGCCGTAGCGGTGGAAGAGCCGCTCCTCCAGCTGCTCCGCCAGCTCCGAGACCTGCCCGAGCGGGGGCCGCGGCTCGTCCCGGCGCTGGCACGGCCGCCGTCCCCGGGGCCGGGGGGCAGCTGCGCCCGCCCGCGCTGGCACCGCTCCCGGCCTGGCCCGGCCGCCGCCAGCTGCGCCCCGGTAGCCGCAGCGCCGGTCGCGGTGGCCACCGAGCGCCGGGTCAGCGCGGGCCGCAGCTGCCGGGCCGGGCCGCCATCTGCGAGGGCAGCGTGGGGACAAGGGGGGGGACACCAGGGGGACAGCGAGGGGACAGCGGGGGCCGCTGGAAGCGGGGCCGGAGGCAGCTGCGGCCGCCCCCGCGGGGCTTCGGGGGGCTCCCCCCGGCCGGGCTCCGCAGCTGCCTCCGCGGCCGGGCTCTGCCTCCCTTGTCCCGCCCAACCGGGCGGAATAACGCGGTCCCCCGCGCCCCGGGGGGAAGGAAGGAAGGAAGGAAGGGACCGCGGCGGCCGCTCCGCGCTTACCTTCAGCAGCAGGCTGCCCCTGACGCCGCTCAGCTCCGTGTGCGCTTCCTCGCGGCCGCTGTTGAGGCGGCCGAGCACGTCCTGCACCCGCTGCTGCAGCCCCTCCACGGCGGCGTCCAGCGAGGCGAACAAGAGCGAGGAGCGGGGACCCAGCGCTGGCCCCGCGCGCGGCCTCGGCCGGAACACGGGAGCCTCAGGAGGGGCGGGGGACAGCGCATGGAGCCCGCGGGGACAGGGACCCCATTGGGGCCTGGGATGGCGCAGGAACTGGGACTGCGTGAGGGACAGGGACCCCATCGGGGCCTGGGATGGCGCAGGAACTGGGACTGCGTGAGGGGCATGGAGCCCGCGGGGACAGGGACCCCATCGGGGCCTGGGATTGCACAAGGACCCCATTAGGGCCGGGGATCACACAGGGACAGGGACCCTTGTGAGGAGCATGGAGCCCACAGGGACAGGGACCCCTTTTATGAGGGGCACGGAACCCATGGAGACAGCGTGAGGGACATTTCTGCCCCATTAGGGCCATGGATCACACAAGGACAGGGACCCCCCATCAGGGCTGTGCACTCTGCCAGGGTCACACCGGGACAGGGACAGGCTGGGCCCTGTGGCAGCCCTGCCAGTCCCGTTAATTGAGAATTACCCTCTAATTAACGTGGTGACACGTGTGTGCCCCCTCCCTGCACTGCCCGTTGCATCCCCCCGCTGTTTTTTCTCCATTTTCACTCCAAAGGTGAAGGTGAAGGCGGTACCTGTCCGGTTTCTCGCCGGGGGGCTCGTCCTCACCCAGCTCCGCCGCGAAGGGGCTCTCGCCCGCCGCCGCCTCCGGTTCGGGACCATCAGGCTCCTCCCGCGACATCCCGGCCCCGGGGGGCTGCAGGGGAAGGAGCCCCGAGCTGGGGCCGGGGTCCCGGGCTGGGCAGGGGGCACTAAGCCGGGCTCGGGCCGGGGTCCCAGGGTGGGTTCGGGGCACTTTGCCGGGCTCGGGCCGGTGCCCGTTCGGGGCCGTACCTGGGACCCTCGGCCGCCCCTCACCACATAGCCCTCACGGGGCTCTGCTGGGCGGGCACCGCCGGCGCCCAATCAGCGCCCGCCATTCACACCTCGGCGCTGCTGATTGGAACCTGAAGGGACCCCAAAGGATGATTGGCATCGGCGCGGGCCAATCGCCGGGCACGAAAAGGCAGTGGCGGGAAAGGCGCGAAGGGTCCGGAGGTCCCGGGGGCATCTCGGGGGTCCCGGGGGCATCTCGGGGGTCCCGGGAGTGTTCCGGGCGGATCTCGGCTTCCCCAGCGCCTTGCGACGCCACAAGGTGACAATAAACACTCCCCAAACGGTTCCCTTCCCCAGCACACACACAGGCACCGCAGGACACCGGGCTTTATTTGGGGTGGGGACCCCTCCCCAAAATGAGGGGACCCCCGGGAGGGGGAGGTCACGCATCCAGGCGGCACATGGGGCTGTCGTAGACCATCTGCAGGTTGACGCGGTGCCCCACGAGCTCCCGGATGTTGTTGATGCCGTATTTGATCATGGTGGGTCTGGGGGAGGTGGGATGGGGAGGGTGTCAGTGGGGTGGGGGGGCTGGGATGGGCCCACACTGGGGTCCCCCCCGCCCCAGAGGTGACCCCCACTCACCGCTCCAGCGAGAGCCCCCAGGCGATGACGGAGACGTTCTCGGGGAGCCCCATGGGCAGCAGCAGCTCGGGGCGGAAGACCCCCGAGTTCCCCACCTCCACCCACTTCTTCAGCCCTGGGGAGGGGGCGAGGGGGGCCAGTGAGGATCCCACGGACCTCCTCCCCATATTGGGGAGCGCTCAGACCCCCCTGCTCCAAACGGGGACCCCCCAAGCTCACCCTCGTGGTAGCTGAACACCTCCATGCTGGGCTCGGTGTAGGGGTTGTAGGCGGGTTTGAAACGCAGCTGGGAGATCCCTGCGGGCACACCGGGGGTCAGGGGAGCGCCAGGTGGGTCTGGGGTCCCTCCCCAGCGCCCCCCTTGTACCCAGCTTGGTGAAGAACTGCCGCAGGATGCCCATGAGGTGGCCCAGCGTGAGCCCCCGGTCGGCCACCAGCCCCTCCACCTGGTGGAACTCGGCCAGGTGCGTCGCGTCCAGGCTCTCGTTGCGGAACACGCGGTCGATGGAGAAATATTTCACCGGGCTGAACTTCTCCTGTGGGGGGAGAAGAGAGCAGTGAGGGGGCAGGTGGGACCCCCAGACTGCCCCAGAACTTCTCTGATCCCCCCCAAATTGTTCCGGGCTTCCTGAGCCCCCCCTAAACAATGCTGAGCATCCTACATTGCTCTGAGCACCCCAAATCCCACTGACACCCCAAATCCCACTAATCCCCCCCAAAATCCCTCTGTTCTCCCTCATGGCTGTACCCCCCAGACCCTGGCAAGGACCCCAAAGCCCCCAGAGCCCCCCAGAGCCCCCAGACCTGCCGTGCCAGCTGGAACAGGGCACGGGCACTGGCTGACGTGGTGTGGGTCCTCAGCAGGTTCTTCTTTGCCTCCTCCACCTTCCACTCGTACCTGTACCTGGGTGGGGGGCACAAAGGGGGTTCAGGGGGGTGGGGGACACACGTGGGACCCCCCTGAGTCGCCCCCGGGGTCGGGGTCTCACCCCTGTGAGCCGTAGCCTCCCTGCGAGTGCACCTTCTTCACCTTGGAGGAGTAGCCAGGGGGCAACTGGGGGGCTTCGGCGGGGTCTGGGGGGGCAAAAAGGTCAGGGGGGTTCTGGGAGGCTTTGAGGGGCATTTGTGGGGGCTCAGGGGGGGTTCAGAGGGGTGTGGGGTGGGCACAGGGGCTCGGCGGGGTTCAGAGGGGTCCCGGGGTGGGCACAGGGGCTCGGGGGGCTTTGGGGGGGTTCAGAGGGGTCCCGGGGGGGGGTCAGCAGGCCCCCGTGCCCCCCCAGCACCCACCCAGCAGGAAGAAGGTGTCGTGCTGGTCGCGCGCCGGGTGCTGCTGCGGCTGGAAGAGCGCGTCGAAGTTCCAGAAGGAGCTCTCCACAAAGTTATCCGTGGGCATCTCCGTGAACCTGGGGGTCCATTGATATTAACAGAGGGCGGGTGGGCTCTGTGGGCCCCCCTCTTCCTCCCCAGATCCCCCCACTCACCCCATCTCCAGGAAGATCTGGCGCAGCTCCGAGCGCACCTTGAGCAGCGGGTGCAGGTGCCCGCAGGCCGGGGGCAGCCCCAGCGAGGAGAAGTTGTAGGGTTTGAAGGGCAGCCGGCGCCAGGAGCCCCTGCAGGAGGGGCTGGGGGTCAGGGCAGGCCCGGGGAGGGGTCCTGGGGGGGTTTTGGGGGGTCCTGGGGGGCACCTACGTGGCGATCATCTCCGGGGTGAGCTCGGTCTCCGGGCGCGCCACGGCCGTGCTGAAGGCGCTGCCCTTGCGGATCCAGAAGGATTTGAGGGTCCTGAGGGGGGCAAGGGGGGCGTTGGGGACTGCCAGAGCCTCACTGGCTGCTTTAATTAATGCTAATTTCATTAATGACCACCCTCACTTTCTCTATTTAATGTTTCACCAACGTGAGTTTTACACAGAGTCTTTAATTGGGCTGTTAGATTGTTAAAATCTTGATTTTGCTGAATTAGTCCTCAGCAAACGAAAACAAAAGGGTCTGAAAATGGGGCAGAAAGGCCTCGAATTTATGCCACATCAAGGACAGAAAAATCAGCAAATACTGAGACAAACAAAAGAGACAATAAAAGGAGTAAAGAGAGGGATCAAAATGAAAACTGATTCATGAACACCCCACAGCACCAATTAACGAGAAGAACGGTGCAATTTAGGAGCGATAATTGTTAAATTAGCCGTGCCCCACTCACACTTCCAGCAGCAGCTTCCTCCTCTTGAGCTCCGAACGCTCCCGCTCGGGCAGGGCCCCCCCGGCCCTCACCTGGCCCAGGTGTTCCTGCACCGTGTCCTGCACCGAGGGCACCTGGGGGGCACCACGGGGGCACCGGGGGTGGGCACAGCCCAAGGGGGACCCCCGGGGGGGAACAGACCCCTCCCCAAACAGCGCTGAGTCCCAGGGAGCCGCGTTTGTCCCCCCAAGGATCACCCTCGTTCATGGAGACCCCCACCCATCC